ACTCTTTCCTCATGAAAATGTTTTCAATTAAAAATGCAGTGTCAGATGAATCATTATTGAATTTCAGAGGCAATTCTTTATGACTGGAAAGGCATTTTCATTGCACTTTCAAGCTTTCAGCCGAAAAGTATTGTTAGGATGTTTGCATATTTAGTCTCCATAAATAATGTCAGAGCATTGTTTTTCTTTATTCGGCATTGTTTTGGAAGATGACTATATACCTATACACAGCACAATCAGTGTATAAATATAGAGGTGAATAGTGATAGTTAAACCCCTCATTGACTTTCTTGATCAAGCAGTGATTCACTTAAGAGTATAATTTGTGTGATATACACACATCTGATGGGCCAGCTGCTCTTTCTGGGCAGCAGTACTAATTATAGTAACTCATTGGCTAAGGTCCAGAACATACCAGGGCCTGCAGAGTGAATGGAAATGAACTTTTAGACACAGAGCTTCCAAGCCTGTCTTCAGGTGGGAAAACTCACCTTGATGAATGAGTTCGCACGGTTGTCATGGAACCGTTTTTACTTGTTCTCCCCATACTTAATAGTATCAGATCTTACTCAAGCCCTGAATTCAATCAAGTAATAAAGCGCTTACATAAATATGTTCTTTTAGCTCTGTAGAGTGACACATAAACAGGCGACAAAAAGATATCAGGCACATGGAGGTCCTAGCTGAGCTGACACAGCCGAGATCACCAAGTATGTGGACTGAGATCTGTCAGCCTAGTGGTGGTTCGGGTCTTTCTGAATAGATGGGACTGGAGGGTGGCGGGGTCAGACTCCTGCTGTTGTTGTTATAAATTGTGCAAGTATTACATCTCTAAAGGCATTTGGGAAGGAAATTTCAATGAATCATTAAGTATTTGAGGCACTATAATGATACAAAGGATAAGAAGAAAATCTCAAAAATCTTCAGAGAGGATATAAAGACATGAAATATTAACAGGAAGAAAAAAATTGGCCATTCAAGACAAAAACAGAAGACATGATACAAAAATCTGTGATCATCAAATCAGTCCATTCAAGGACCAGTTGCCACAGGTGTTTGAGGCCGCATCACCCCAAGATGGGTTAATCGGGGAGGATTTTACACTTAAGCTCCTCGGCCTCCATTTCTTCAGGTGTAATTATGGGGTTGATAGACTAGGTGGTCACTGATTTCTGATTCTCCAGTGGATTTTTGAGTTAACTCCCTGGAGATGGATCAGATTTGCATAGGCAACATGGATGAAAAGCCTTCTGTCTCCTCAGAGACACTTTGTAGACAGAAGACAAAATGTGTGAATTGAAGGAAAGACACAGGCTATACAGCAAAAAGGCTGATTTTGTCACTGCCCAATCTGTGACATTGGAACTGTCACTGACATTCCCTTAGCTCCAGTCTCCCCATTTCTAACCTAGCCAAGCGTTGTTTTAGGATGATGAAACCAAGTAAGACATTTGAAAGAACTTAGTAAACCGTGAAGGGCTGGGCGTTAGTTATTATGGGTGCTGTGGCAGATTTCTCATGTCACAGGGTCACGGCCTCCTAATTTCAAGAAAGGTCAGCCAGCAGCAGGACTGGCCATGCATGTCAGCTTCAGGGCCCAGGGCGTTGGGCCAGCCTTCGCCCCAGACAGCTGGCACGTGCTAACTGGTGGTCTCTCCCCTTGAAACTAGAGAGGACCAAGTCAGGAATGTAGCTGCCCACAGATTTGTTTAGGAAGCCTTCACATCAGCATCCTCTGCCTCTTTAGAGACTGTTTTGAGAATGGTCAGCCTTAAAATAGCGCATCAGTGGAATGAAATATCTCTTCCCCCCGTACACCCATCACACACACAGAAAGCCATCTCTCCTGCACATATAGTCAGTGTTGTATTTTAAAGTACCAGAAGAGACTATAGCTTGTAAAATAAACTGAATGAAATTATATGCTGTGTGATTGGAAAAACTTTAGAAAATTATCATTCCTGGTTTTGAATGCCCGTCATAGAATTGTTTCTTCCAAATGGGTCTTGTTCATGTGGAACTTGAGAAAGTTGTTCAGTTAGGGATGCTTCTTATTTGGAACTGCTGAGTTAAGTAAAGCAAAGATCAGAGCACAGCATTATTTGTTGCAAAATAACATGAAAATGTGTGGCTCTTTGGCCTCCCACGCGTCCCTTATTTCATTTGCCCTTTAGTTGATTGTACTTTACTGAAAATGTCATAAAGGGAATGGAAAGTTACTTAGTAACAACTCTTTTATATCCTTGATCTTATCAGCTAGTTCAGGAGAAGGGTTTGGCTAATAAGTAATAAGGCGATACATGCACATTGGCCATATTTATTAATTCCAGGCCTGTGAATGCAATGGAGGAAACAACATTGAGTTGAGCTCAATAGCTTTCAAAAATATTCGTCATTACTTCCATGAAAACCCTAGTCATTCAGGATGTGTGTGTTTACAGTATTTCTTTAGATAAAAGTGGCTGTAGGTCATATTGCTTACAGAAATGATTATAAAATGCTTTGTTTTTATGACTTACAAAAGAGAGTTTAAAATATTCATTAGAAATGTCTTGGGAGTTCCCTGGAGGCCTAGTGGTTAGGATTCTGGGCCTTCACTGCCGGGCCCTGGGTTCAATCCCTGGTCGGGAACTGGGATCCTGCAAGCCGAGGGCCAAAAAAAAGAAAAAGAAATGTCTTATCATTGAACACTTAGTAGCCATTTGCTTTTTCAGGTGATCCCAGGATAGTGATGACCATGATCACAGCTTTACTAAATTGTTAACTACTGGGTTGTTTGTTTTTGTTTTTAGTTTAATCTGTCTGTGTATTAGCTTCGCAGTGTGAAGTAATGATCCTTATTGTGCCCTTTTTTGGGTACTTCCTCCTCAAAGCATCTCTGTTTTGCTCCCTCCCCTGCAACCCCAGATCCGAGACGAATGGGGGAACCAGATCTGGATCTGTCCTGGATGCAACAAGCCCGATGACGGGAGCCCCATGATTGGCTGTGATGATTGTGACGACTGGTACCACTGGTGAGTCCCCATCGTGGCCCTGGGGGGAGGGGCTCTGCACACGGGGTGTGGGGGTGCCTCTGGCCTGTCCTGGCTTTTCTCCCAGGGCAGTTCCTCTCTGGAGAGCAGTGTACGGAGCAGAATCACTGCCAAGAGAAAGGAGTTCATGAGAATTGCAAAAATCACGAGTCTTTGGACTATCATTATTCAGCCTAAATTCCAAATGTGTTGCTTAGCTTATGTATCCTCCTGCTTTAATAAAGGAAAAGGAGCTAGAGGGGGTTCCCTTTCCTTTCTTGCCAGTCGTTTTCTGTAGCAGCTGCAGTGCTTGACGGCAACGCTAAGGGAACCCCCGTAAACGTGTCACACAGTGCAGAAGTGAAGGGACAGCTTGTGTGGTTTCTGCACCTCTTCAGCGCCCCCCCAAAACCGAAGAAACACCATCAAAATGCATGCAAACAGCCTTCCCGTTTTATCTTGAAAATATCAGATATAAAAAGATAGGAGTCCACTTAGTCATGTGCTATATGATATCTCAGAGATAAAAACAAAGCCGTGGCTCAGAAGCATTAGACTATTTCTGGCTGAAAGGATGAATGAGCTAATTAATTTCTCCAGCGGGGCCTGGAGAGGGGCTTTGTGTAAGGTGATCACCCACACGCCCAGCAGTAGCGCAGCATCCGTCAGAGCTATGTGACTTGGATTTCTGGTAAATACACCACAGACCACAGACTTAGGACATAATTTAGTGACTTGAAATTCTTTAAAAACACAGGAAAAGAATGTGTGGATAAATAAAGCTTGTTTGTCTGAAGCCTTTTCTTCCTTGGTAACCATGCAGGCCCTGCGTCGGGATAATGGCCGCGCCCCCGGAAGAGATGCAGTGGTTCTGTCCCAAGTGTGCCAACAAAAAGAAGGATAAAAAGCACAAAAAGAGGAAGCACCGGGCGCACTGACACCCCGGGGGCCCCTGTCCTGACGCCTCGGGGGAGGTGCCGTGACCCCGCCTCCGTGTCACCTCCCACCATGTACCTGCAGGTTATGAACCTCGCAAGACTGAGGACAGAAACACACCACCCACAGGGATTTTCCTTCTGGAACACCCCGGCCCGGGGCCACATGGTCGTGACCGAAGGAAAGTTCATGTGGAGGCGGGCACCGGGGCCACCTTGCCTCCGTTTTCTATTACCAGTGACAAGTATTACTAATAAAAAGACCATAATCTTCCCTTTCGATTTTCTTGATTCTCTCCAGGGCCTTTTCCTTAAGGTGTTAGATGAGAAGTGGCTTGTGGCCTGCCTTGACCGTGACTGAGGGTGACGTTGGTAGTCTGTCTGCGCCTCCAGCCTCCTTCCCTCTCTAGTGAGATAATCATAATCACTTAAAAGAAAACTCCAGGTGGAGTGTCGGTAAATATTTTTGTGACGAAAAATATATGAAGCTTCCCCTCCCTCCCTGTTTTTAGTACTAACATGTAAAATGTTCAGGCTTTTTGTGAAATACCTTATATTTTTTAAGAAAAAGGTTTCTATCATGTCCTGTTGGCTTTTGTGCAAATTATTTTTGTTGACTCTCACCTATTTTCTTTCTCTGTTGCCTCCCGACTTTGCCCGTTTCTCTAAACTGCTGGTGTTCTTCTCACAGCTTATCCATTTCATCAACTTGTGTAAAAACTCTTCGGACCAAGAGATCTCCCCTAATGTAAATAATAAATATTTATGAAGTAGTTATTTTAAAAAAATTTTTATCGTGTTTAATTCTGGCTTTCTCTGAAATCTGCTGTGATTTCAGCCATGTCTGTAATTACTGCTGTACATAAGCAAAGAAGGCTAGAAAAAAAGAGCCATGCGTAGTTCAAAGTTACCTACCTAGAGCTGAACCCATGCAGTACCCAAAACACTGGGGGAAAGGACCCGAGCAGTTGGAAGGAAAACAAGGCAATTTAAATCTGTGGTTTATGATTTGAAATTGTTTTGTTATCTCTTGTTTCTGTAAATTTCTTTGACTTCCTTTTGTTTCAAAGGTGTTGATTCCTCCCTGAAAGTTAAAAAAAAAAAAAAAAAAAAAAATATATATATATATATATATATATATATATATATATATATATATATATATATATATATACACTGTAGCATTTTGTGTTTATATTGTTTTATTTCTGCAAATCTGTTCATTGATATTGTGGTTTAAAGCTGAAATGAAGTATATTATAAAATTTTTTTTTTAAAGAAAACTCATCAAATTTCAGGGTATCACAAAACTTTATTATATTACTATACTGCCCACTATTTATTATATGTTATAGATGTCTGAGAGATAAACCAAATATTTTATTTTTAATGTAAAACATCAAATTTAATTTTATTAGCATATTTTAGCAACTTTGGAATAAATATGGACTTTTACTTGATTTTGAAGTAATCCCAACTTGGGCCAGTGTAATGGATATCTTGAATACTAGAATATGGGCTTTGAACCTAATACAAACATATTAATAGAAATTGTGATTTTTTTTTAATGCCAAGTAAATTGATATTAGTGTATGAATCATATTTTAAAACATATTATTATGTGGTTAGAGAAATGAGGCTTTCTGCCATGAATGTTAAATTGCAAATCAGTGGAAATGGAGTCACCCTTTCAAGACTGCAGTATTTCATTGCCCTCCTTGTTCTAGAAGTCAAAGTTTTTCTATCCCTACAAAGAAACAAAGCATCTATGTTGAGACATGTGTTTTTTGTTCTGTTAATTTGAGATCATCCTAAATACTTTATGCAATATTTTCACATGCGCAAATCTACCCATTAGTGCTTTTTGGAGAGGGATGGGGGTGGGGAAGTGCAAAATAAAGATTATTGGCTATTTCATAGTTTGCTTTTCCATTTTCTTTCTTTAGGATTTAGTTCCTCGAGGCATGGTCAGTGTATCTGACGTTGCCATGTCTAAGTGACCTGGTCATGCCACTGAAATAAGAATGGAGGTGCCGATATATAACCTTCCCCCAATCCTACTGTCTGAGAGACTTCAGCCCAAATGACATTGAAGGAATTTCAATCAGTTTGTTGTCCCTTGCTATTTCATGGTTGCTTTCCTAAATCCAGTTCATGATTTTATAAATGGCCTTTGCAATAATAAAACCAAAGAATCATTTTCAGGGGGCTGGAGAGCTCAAGGGATTAGTAATGGAATACAGAGCCTTTCACCTCTAGGTCAGTGAGTTGAATCCAGTTCAGGTCACCAGAGACCCAAAGTTGTTACCGTCTTCTGACTGTTCAGTGGCCTGCATGAAATGGGCTGGTGGTCTCAGTCTCTACTGGATGCCTGTCCGTACACCAACCAAAGGAAGTCTGAGAAACCGCAAAAGGAAATGTGGATTAGAAAATGAAACCCTGATGTTCCAAAGCAAAGTTAGAAAGTTGGGCAGAATCATCCTCCATAAAGTCACACTGAAGGAAAAGAGAGTAATCGCAAATGCCACAGACATCACAAAGAGACTGGAGATTAATTCACTTGGCCTAATGAAGTTGAACTAAACAGGGAGAGGGAAAACCTGTATTGGACCAGAGGGGAGAGGGTTACATTGGGAAAGATGACAGTTTAATTGGGAAAAAACCTTGAGGGGACCCACGCAAGAAGAAGAAAGTGCATTTTGACTTTTGAGGGAGAAGGAAATCATAGAGCAGCAGACATTTGAGGAACTACCGGAACTGAGAAAATTCGATGCAGAGGCACCAGGAGAGTATTTCCCTAGGGAGCATGAGAAGTCTCCCAGGGGTCGGAAAGCTGGTGGACCATTGTCACTTATGCCAGCACTACCATCTGACCTCAGCACTGATGATGCTTCGTGAAGAGAAGTAGTCTGGAAAACAATTGGCTGGGCTAGTGATTTAATTGGAGGGGTTGGTATTTAAGAGAGAGAGAGAGCCCTCCCTCCCAGGAACCCCATTCCTCGGGTGAGCTGATCTGCCCGCGGAGCCCTGAGGACCTGGCCAAGCGCGATTTCTGTGACTGGCGCACTGTTTGTCTTCTAAAGGTGTCTGCACCGAAGCACAGTGAGGGGCTCTATCCTCCAGCTGATTTGTGGCTCCAAATGTCCTGCAGAAAATCAGAGGGCATCAGAGCATTCTGGCTCTCGGGCTTTTTGCAAAGATAAAATATAGTGCCTTACCCTACTGTATCACCTAAACCTCCTTTGTTCTCCTTTGAATAGGACGATTCAACAAAGACCTGGTAACCAAACTAAAGTATAAAATGAACACAGATATGGAAACCTGGCCAGTGAGAATGCTAATGAATTAAGTTCACTAAAGGCACACGGGCTAAGTTTTCAATACAAATAGTTTTATGGCCAATCTCTTCAGATCATAGCAGTTTTCTTTAGAAGTTCAAGTCTAGAAGTAGATAGTCGCCCCCCAACTGAAGAATGAAACAGATAACGTTCTGAATAACGTTCTCTCCACAATAGTATCAGTCATTCTCTTAGGAAACCGTTTCTTTGAGAATCTTGCATTCGCTGTGGCCTAAAAAGTCTAAAGTAACTATTAATCCCCGCATGCCGGCCAGTGGTGACACTGGAAATGAGATATTTAGGTGGACAGCTGAACGTTTTCTTCTTCCTATCAGGGAAACATAACATTTAGTTTATGTGCGAAGTATTAAAACAACTGCTGGTTACCTTTTTCATCCTGGACAACTCAGCTTTTAGTTTAGTTTATAGAAGGACAGTTTTAAACACTTTGATTCGTTCATTCAACGTTGGCTGGACACACTTCATGAAAATGGCAAAAGTGCATTAGCTCCAAGTTGAGTTTTCCTGCAGTCTGGCCTCCAGTGTTTCGTACTTGTTCCCACCATATTCTGGCATTAATGTGCATTTCATCGAATCCTAAGCCCCTTCCTTACTAGGTTTTTCTCCATTTTTCTCCACGTCACCTTTCTATCCACCTTAGACTGCCGTGGTTTTTAATGTGGATAGAGCTTTATATAGTTGAAGGGTTTATATTTACAACAAAATATTGAAAAGCTTAGCGAACAGTTACATTAACTATCCCGGGAAGTAGCAGGGTTGACAATATATGAAAAAATGCATTTATACGTAAACAGATGGATGCCGCAAGATGTAAATGTGCTGGGCTTTCAGAACAGAAGTATATCGGGACATCCCTGGTGGTCCAATGGTTAAGACTCCGTGCTTCCACTGCAGGGGGCACAGGTTCGATCTCTGGTCAGGGAGCTAAGATCCCACATCCTGCATGCCACGCGGCATGGCCAAAAAATAAAAATAAAAAAGAACAGAAGCATATTTTAGGTACTCTGCCCTAAGCAGTCATCTCCTACTGTATCCTTGGAACCTAGTCAGGATTTTGTTAACCTTCTGAAGTTTTGTGGGAGTTTTTTTTTTTCTTTGTGGTTCTTTTTTGGCTTTGGTCTTGTATTTGATTAGCGAGACGCTTAGGATGGGATCATCTTAAGCAAAACAACACAAAACTGAATATTGTCATTGTTACTGTTCTTCATGAGTTAACTGTTGCCCAGGTCAGTGGTTTGAAGCAAATGTCTGTGCTGCTTCTAGGACCTCATTTAAACCTCTAATAAAACTAGTCATCAGAGGGAGTTCAAATCATCCAAAAATATCATCAGGTTATATTCTGATTATTTCTTTTCTTATACCGTTTGGAATGTTGACTAAGCTTTTTTTGGCTAGCTTTTAGAAAGTGAATTCTCTAGAAGACGGTTTCTAAATGACCAATTCCTCTTCCCTCCTTCATTTTATTACTTTTTAACATGGTTAATTTACAACAGTCACAGAAACAAAGAAGAGGCCCAGAATGTTCTGCACTTAACCACATCCAGGCGCTTCCCAAAAAAACATTAGGCATCTTCCCAGGCTACGGGGATGCAAAGATGACCTGAGACACGTCCCCAGTGTCACAGAGAGATGACAGAGAATGAC